TTTCCCTTTCACTGCAATCACAAGGTGTCTCTCCTCCTGCAGTTCTGCAAGGACATCTCTGGGGGTTACCAGAACCAATCTGACGAGCAAGATGAACACCCAGACATGAGCACCAAACAGCATGAGACGTCAGAAAACAGCAGTGTCCAGTCGATGACACATGCGCTAGAGCAGCCAGCACTTCCCTTGCCCTCTTCCAATGCAGAAGAAATTGATAGCCTCCGAGAGGCTTCTAGAGCTTCCACCATCATCTTTGACCAGGAAGAGAAAGAGGAAGAAGTGGAAGAAAAGACTGAGCATGAGAAAGAAGTGAAGTCTATCCTCAAGACAGACAGGCATGTGCCAGATGATGGCTACAAAGCTGTGTGGTTTAAGACTGATGTGGATCCAGATGGAGAGAGGGTTCAAGTGATAGAGGACAATGCAGCACATGGCGATGATGACAGTGACGAAGATCTGCAGAAGAACGAGGAGGAGGAAGATTATGACAAGGACGATCACCACAGAGGGCTGGGAATGTCCTTTGCTTCAGAGAGCTCATCACTCCCAGATGCAGAAATGACAGTCAACATGTCTCACACAGATGCAGTGACAGAAGAGGACACTGACATATAATGGGAATGGACTTGTACTCTGCCCCAGAAAATGGGGGAATCTCAGCTGCTTTGCTGACATGAAGCCCATCTTTCTGCTCAGGAGGGAAACTGGAATGCAGGAGGACAAGGTTGCCTGTCCTGCTTGTCTGAATGCAGCGATTAAAGCTGGATGAGGTTACAGCTAACTCAACCTTCTAGTGAGACCTTGAAATATCACCTAGGGTTTTGAGGTGGGGGAACACATCTCACCTCTCCACCTTCCTGCCTGTTCCTCCTGGGGCCCGTTCCACCACATTTCCCAAACCGGTTGCAGGTACAGCAGAGCTGTAGCTGAACTGATTTTGAAGCAGTTAGCCCAGCCTGTGGTAGCAATTTAGTTACACAACCCAGCGTTCACCTCCTCTTGGTGGGTAAATGAGCCAGCACTGACTGCTTGGCTGTTCCCTTTAGGGTGTTACAGTTTGATGCCAGCTGCAGGGTGTCACCCTGACCCTGCAGTTGCTCCTATGACTGTATCCAGGAGCTCACTTCAGGGCTTGGCTCTGCTCTCTGCCGTGCCAGGCTCTGTGCTCCCCGCGCAAGCAGCTGGCATGTGCCACCGTGGTCCTCATCCTGCCAGCAGCCAGGAGTTTACATGCTTGGGAGCTGTTGTGTCCTCTGTCACTGGTAAGCAAGGACTGATCGTATGTTCTTTACTGAAGGACTTTGTCATCAACTTTTCTACGTCATAAAACCACTAATTGTGCAGTACTTCTTTAGCTGTCTGTCTCCTATCTGTCAGGGAAAAGAAGAGCTCCTGCCAGGACCTACCTACACAATGCCAGGGGTATTTCCAGCTCTCTGGGGTTTTGGCAGCAATGGGTATCATTCCAGAGGTCAGCACGTTGTTTCCCATTGTTTTCTTTGTCCTACAGGGCTCAAGGTGTCCCTTTTATGACTGCTGCTGCAGGTGGAGGTCAGCATTGCCTCCAAGTGCCAGATGTCACTGCCATTCCTCTGCTCCTCTCTTGTCTCAGATGTCAACCCCTTTGCACACCACTTTTCTCCATTCATGAGGAGCCCAGCAGGCTCTTGCTGGTAAAATATCATCTTTCAAGCTTCACCTGGAGCTGAGCTTCAGCCTGAGAGCAGAGGTGGTGCACTGAAAGCAAGTCAGCTCTGCTGTGCTCGGCGTACAAGCCCAGGCTTCAGCTAGAAAGTGTGCTGACCTCTGGATTGGCTTCATGGGGTGACAGCACCACAGTGTGTTGGACTCCTCCTCCCTCAGTCCCCCCTCATCTTTCAACAATATTGTCTTCAATTATGGGTCCTGCCATAAAGCCCCAATTCAGCAAAGTGAGCACACCGTTTCCAGGCAGCATGGGGAGTAAAGTGTTTGATGCGCTCGTCTAGATTTACACCTGCCATCGACCAAGCTCTTCCCTCAAAAGCTGGCTGATTTCCGCTGGCTGAGAACATGGCTGTGTGCATTTGCATCTCCTGATCTATCAGCACAAAATTTATGCTGCTCCTGGGTTTCTCATTTTGGGGCTAGCTACAGAGCAGACATGGGCTGTTGAGTGTTTCACTTCCAGTAAAAAGCTCAGGAGTGTCCAAGACAAGGATGCAGCAGAAGGAGTTTGGGTCACTAACGTTCATCTCACTTTCTCAGTTTAGCACAACAGCACAGGATTGCAACAAGATAATTCTCATGGTAGAGAAGCAAAACCAATAGATAATCCTGCCTAAGCCAATCTCCACGTTGCTGCCGTCACTCCAGATAAACCCTTGAGAGAGAGAAACCAAAGTATGGCTGTGGGGATCCACACATACAGCAAAGCACAAATGATTTCCAAGGAGGCTCTTATCCTCTCGATCTATATTTATTTCTGTGCTTCTCCCTGTCCCAGTGTTGCTAGCGCTCAGTTCTGCTCTCCTTTCTCTGAGGAGTACTGCCATTGCTGTGTGGACTTCAGGAGCTGCACTTCTGCTGAAGGTAGAGACTGAGATGTGGAAAGCTTTCTTCTGTACTGCAATAAAGCTATTTGCCCAGAAATTACAAGTGTGGTTTGTCTGATAACAGAGAGTGGAGAGTGTGCCCTGTGTTTGCCATGTAAGCATGGTTCCTCCAGCAGCTTAGGGTTATCTCCAGCAAACATTTCCCGTGGGACTGTGAGAACTCTCCAGTAGTTGCTAACTGCTAGCCCAACACCTTCAGCCACCAGCAAGGGCGAGGGTAGAGCCCAGCCTGCTCTCCATGCTGATGCTACTCACAGGAGGATTGCTGATGGGTGGGCAAAGCTAGAGTGTTTCTACTCGAAGCCCCTCCAGGCACTTGCTTTTTTCATCTCTGGCTAAAGGTCCAAAGATGTGCCACTGGCTTGCTGTGCTCCAAGGACCAGCATCTACGACGGTTCAGTGGTGCTGAGTGCCCAGCTGATAGGGGGTCATTTTAGCAACAGAGGATTCTGTCCCAGGTCAGTGGCTGACATAACTTGGCTCACATGGGGCAAGGGATGGCCTCTGTGGAAGCAGAGCAGAAATTGGAACTAAGAAGCAGCCGCTGTACCAATGCAGCAGCGAACGCTTCCCAGCAGATGGGCAAAGGGAACACCCACAGCACTGCGTTTTCTAATGCATGCGGGTATGGAAAGAGACTGGAAAGGACAGAGGAGGTTTAAGAAGAGGAGCAAAGTGCAGATAAAAGCAATCTGATGTTCACCAGCCCCTCTGCTCAAGTTTTCTGCAACTGGGACCAGTGCTTATCAGAAGCCAGTTATTACAATCCATGGCTATGTTACATGGGTTGCAGTTGGCCATTCCTGCCTCAGCGCATTAATAAGGAGCTTTGAATTATTTTAAAGCATAATGACCTGGAAAGTGCCTGACTGGCACTGGGAAGGAGAACTGCTGATTGCCAGATCCCGTTTGCCTTTAATGAACCAGGGAAAACATTTCTGACAGAAACGCTGACACAGACAGACCTATTTACTGATAGCAAGGGACAGGGCACAGGCTCAAACGAGTCCTGGTGCAGCTGGATATGTGCAGTCAGGTAGTGCTGGGCTGGTATCTATAGCACCATGGTGGATTTGGCCCCACCAGCTGTTACCAAAGACGATACCACCACAGTGATGAAGGGACACAGATAGACCACACACAAGTCCCCTAGACCGGCTGTCCCCTCAGTGTGCTCGAGCAGCAATACCTCCTCATTCCCTGCAGCATTGATAGCCTTGGGATTACTTGAGGCACAACTGTGCTCCCACTTTTACATTTGGAGACTCTTTTCCTGCGGACTATCTTTCTCTAACTCTTCTATCTACGCACCTGGAGAAAGGAAGAACCGTTTTCTGCTTGGCCAGAAGACTGTTTCATGACACCTATGACTAATGACTGAACGGAATGGTTTCCAGCAGAAGGCAGTTCGTGCAGGCTGACACAGCGTAGCTGCTCCACTTCCCTCGTTACTGTGCCATATGTGATCTATTCCTGTCCACTCACACACTGTTGTGGGTCTGTCTTCCCTCCACTGTACTGTTTGGGCTTCTGGGCACACCGATTCATGAGCTCCCTCGATTTGCAATCTGTACTCAGCTGTTGGGGCTTCAGCCTCCCTGTCATTGCTGTGCTTCCCACGCTTTTGGCCTTTTGTGTTGGCACGCCGTTCGAATCCAGGCACCCTCAGGTTGCAGTTCGTGGGTTGCTGATGCTCTGGCTTCCCTCCGCTGGCGTGCAACTGAAATGTAGCCTCGGTTCCTCAGTCTTTTATCCTGCAAAATTCGTTCTGGAAATACCCAGAAGTTTATGCGTGTGAAGACAAAAGTTAAACCGCAGCACTCGGAAGGGAAAAAGTGTGTTCAAATACTGCCATCACACGGACAGCAAAGGCATCTGTCTTTTATTCTCCACAGCTTGAATGAGAAAGCAGAAAGTGAAGGTGCTTCTGACAACTCCTTCCTGCACTTGACCCTTCTTCCTTCAGACCCTCGCAGTGAACTGGGGTGTCCCGTCAGCAGAAGGTTTCACTGGCCTTTCCTCTCTTGGGTTAACAGCCCCCCGCAAAGGCAGCACGCATTTGCAGAACCCAATGGTGATTTGTTCAGTGAGCGTGCGAGTCACAGGGCTGGCTGCAGCCCTGGAATGAGGGTGTTAAGATGCCACCAGAGCCATGACTTACTATGTCTAACGTTTAATGGCTATTTCTGATGCCTGGGTTGGTTTTTTTTTTGTTTTTTGTTTTTTTTTCTTAATGGAAATAACATACGACAAAGAAAATTACTGATTTTGAAGAGGAAGTGTTTTTCCTTTTTCAATCTCCCATTATTGTTTGAAAGGAAATGAAGAAAAATGTGAAAGGAACAAGAGGAAAATGTAATTTTTCAAGTTTAAATCCAGCTGAGATGACACTAAATCTGTTTGGATTTGTTTATCTGATTAGGCTGGGAAGGTTGACTAACTTTTTGCATTATTATACAACAGTCTTGTTCATTTATAAACATTTGTATGAGAAAGAAAAACAAAGTGATAGAAATGTTTTTATAAAATTGTTTGGAACCGTTGGAAGACTTTGGATAAAGCAAAGTAACAAGAGTTTCAGTAAGTTTTAAATACAATCACAGGTTCAGATATGAATATTATGAGGAGCACTACGGCTTTTCTGAGACAGTCATAAAGTTTCAAGCACTGGTTTCTACATGGCCCCTTTTCTGTGCAGGACTGGAAAGCATGTAAGTGCTTAAGCTGAAGTGGGTTTTGATGGCAAATAAGCATCTAAGTACCTTTAAAAGCTCATCCTTAAACGCCAAAGACCTTCAAATGTTTTTGAAAGTTTAACTCTACAGGTAGATTTAAGAAATTTCTTTCAATCCATTCACAATCAAGGTCTGATTTTTATTTCTGTACCAGTTTAGAATAATCTTTGTTTAATATCTGTAATGCAGATCTATAAAAAGCCAAATCTGGTCTTTGACCTGGGCTTTGCAGGTGACTGTCTTTCTCTGCTGACTATTTTATCTGTTTTAGTGGTGCAGTCTCTCT